GCGGGAGCGGGAGAGCCGCTGCAGTCGCCGCTTGGCTTCCCCGAGTCTCTTCATCCAGTCGGGCTGTGGCGGGGATGGCTGGTTGTCAATTGGCAGGTTCAGGGCGGTGGCGGTGGTCACCACCTTGAGACCTCCTATTGACTCCTGCTGAGGGGCAGCTGATTGGGGTCCGGCCTGGGTTGCAGGTTGCGCCTGCTGTTGGTTTAATTGGCCAATCCACAGCAGCTCCACTTTGTCGAGATTTAGGCGTTGGCCAGACGCCCGGGCAAAGGTGTCCATGGCCTGGAGGAACGATGGTACTGAGTCTTCACCCTGCAGCGCCACTTCCGTGTCATCCGCATATTGGCACGCGGTGACTGGTTGTGAGTCGGCTGGCTGTAATTTGATCCCCACGTCTTGGCTCCGGAGCCAGCATTGTAGGGCCTGAGCAACGAAGAGGTAGAGCAAGGGTGCGAGGGGGCACCCTTGCCGTACCCCTGCTTCCATGTTCACCAGCTTCGATTTGTAGCCATTCACCATCGCTCTGGCTCGCGTTTCGCTCAGCAGCAGCCGTACCCAGGCGCAGAGCTGTGGCCCTGCACCCATGGTCTCCATTGCTGCCAGGAGGAACCCACGATCCACCGTGTCATAGGCCTTGGCGAAGTCCAGGAATGCCAGGAGCCCCCAAGCAGAACCGCGAAGGAGGTGTGACAGGTGACGCAGGAATAGCACACTAGCTCCAATGAGGCGCCTAGGTAGGAAGGCTGATTGCTCGGGGGTTATGACTTGGCCAAGGGCAGGGCCTAGGCGGTTTGCCAGCACTTTGGTGAGCAGTCGGTAGTCCGAACAAAGCAGGGTGATAGGACGGTAGTTGCCAGGGAGTTTGGGGTCGCCTTTTTTGTAGATCACCGTCAGTACCCCCTCCAAGAAGCCCTTCGGCACCTGCCCCGTCAAGCCTATGGCGGTGAGCAGGCCAGCCATGGTGGTGCCAATGGCCGACCAGAATTTCCTGTAGATGTCGGCTGGGATGCCGTCCCACCCCGGGGCCTTGCCAGGCTGGCTTTTCTTAAGAGCCTTTCGTAACTCGGTGGCCGTGATGGTTCTGGATCCCAGCTGTTCATCTGCCTCTGCGGGTAGCGAGATGTTGGCG